AGCATTTTTCGTTCTTGTTCATGCGACAGAAAAGAAAGAAAATCTGGATCAGTACTAACAATAGACTTAAGAAACTTTATCAAGCAAATAATTGCATCAGATACTTTAATAGGCGTCCCAATTTAATTTTGACTGTGTTAACAACACGAGTCCGGACTCTTCATACTAGATTTAAGCCCTACACAATGAAAGGCTTTGGGCAGGGGAAAAAGTAGGGAGTGGGGGAGCTCATGAAAAGGAAATACTTGGGTCTAAAAAGTCTCGTTTTCTTTATATTATCTAATGAACTAAGACACAATGTAAGGTCAGTGATTATAAAACATTACCAAATTTGATTAACTTTTTAAATTTAAGTTTAAAAATCTCTCAGCGATGTATTTCCCTGTCTAGTACATTTCAAACAATGAACAGAAGGAGCCAAAAGCTCAAGGCGTCAAGGCGCAAAATGTGTGACGTCACGTCTCGGCGCGATGTCACGTTGGAAGGGTTCAGCTAGATTTTCGCGGATTTGGTTGATAAAAGGGTAAAACTTCACTAGCCAAGGTAAGACATCTACGATAACCATTTAAACGTTATCAGGGAGAACAAAGAATGGTTTACCAACAAGGGTAGTTTGAAAAAAAATATGACGAGAAAATTGATAAAAAATGAATGGTTAAAAATTGTCTATTTTTCAACTTAAAATATCTCGAGACTCATTAGTCGCACATCGACCTGGAAAAAAAGCGTTTTGAAGGCCATCCAAAGGTCTTTAAATACATGTATCGGACTTGAATGTTGGTCCCCTAAATTAAACACAAATATGGGCAGTTTGAAACCACTGTCGCGATGAGACGTCATGTCCGGAAACAAAACCCAATGGGACTTTCCGAAGCCGAATCACGATGTAGTGAGCGCGTTCACTGAAGTGCCTAATTGTTACCCCAGCAGACCAGATAGTATTCTGAAATAAGCTCAACTTCCTGAGAAGCATACAGTGCAAGCTGCCATTTTATAGGCGCTCAAACACTAACATCCTGACAAGATCTTTTGCTGTCTATGGCCGGATACCCATTCCCACCTGGGAGAAGTGAGAAACATGAATGTAAAGTGCCTTTCCCAACGACACAACGTCGGGCCTGAGGCTTGAACCCCCGAACCCGCAACCTTACCATTACCAATCCGGTAGACTAACCAGTAGACTACAATTACTGACGCCACATACACTACTTGTTCCTCATAGTAAGTGGTTTCCTTTGACGTGAAAGACATTGCATGGCTTATAACAGCCTCTGGAATGAAAGATGAGACAATATTTTTAAAAAACAACCAATGTTGTGCCTGCAAAGTTCAAGTTTAGAAGAGCACAGACCGTAACAGTCATGATCACCGGCTACATTTACTCGGGAGAGGAAACGGAGAGAGTACAACAGAACTGCCCGGTTCTTTCAGAACAGTGGAGAGAGAGCCTTTAGAGACTTGCTGTCTATTCCTCAATTCAGTTAATCATTAATGCTTTAAAAAAATTAAATTTGATATTATTTTTCCTGTAAAGTAAATATATTTTTTTCGTTTTGTTTGTTTTTGGGGTTTTTTTCGGGAGGGGGGTGTGGGTTTATATTTGCCTGTAGCATGGTCTGCAACTTTAAACCAAGCAAAACCCCAGGTTGTTGAGGGCTTTAAAAACAGTATAATATGTCCCTCACATAGACAAAACATTTCAGAAGGCTTAACCACTGATGTGTGATGGATATAGATCTAGGTCATGGAACGGGGCAAATGAATACCAAGTGTGAACTTGTCATATTGCGCAATCGTGGCCAAGATACGCCTTTTGAAACTTTCAGTTGTAGCTTTATCCAGAAAGGTTGCGACACATGGATACTGTCTTGACAAATAGATATTATATATATATATTATATACATA